CAAAATGTCATCAGAAAAATAATACTGTACCACTGTGTGTTATATGAAATAAAAAATCCAACATGGAATTTAGTGTTTTTTGGCTTTTTGTTCTAGATATAGGGGTTGGTTAACAATGGTTTTTATGTAGGAAAGTGCATAATTTTTGTCTGGTCACCTAGTTATACCTTCGCTGTAACCGAAACATAAACACTAAAAGCAGCGTAAAATCATTCTATGTAAATTTTAGACAGTTAATCTTCCTTGTTATGGCATCTTGTAACACTGGAATGATTCTGAGAAAAAAAAAGACAGTGAAGAAAGAAAAATAGGTGCTATCATCGTCCTACACATAAATAATAAGGAATTTAGCTTATTTTTTCTTTCAGGTTGTAATTTTCTTACATTCTATGTTTTCATTATGCATTCTAAAATGACATGATTTTTACAAACTCTTCTAGTAGTAATGTCTGTATATATTAGTAAAATGTCTTCATTTCCATTTTGAATTAGCTGATTGACGACGACGTGTTCATTGTGAAAATTAAGATGCTGTTGTATTGATTGATGAGAGAAAAGGGAATGGAAAGGCTGAAGCTAGCAGATACGCTACAATATCTATCTATAGATACATATTGAGTAGTATCTTTCGGAATAGCTTTAAGTGAACTTCTACTGAGATCTTATATAGGCTTCTTGAGGATAACTGATGAGATATTTATGTCGTCTAGAACACTAATGATGATAGCATGACAACATATAAAATATTCATGATATTTTTTTCAGTTTGAAGTAAACCGTCGTTATCAGAGCATGAAATAAAGTAAAGGCTAGTCTTATTTGAAGATAAGGAGCCCAAAAAACAGTATTTACAGTTTAATAATCAGTGGATACAGGTGTTATGCTGTGGCTTGTATTATCCCATCGTTGACTGAACCGAAGCCATCGATTTGTATCGACAGTTGACGAGTCCCAAATAGTATGAAACATGGGTCCTGAATTCCATTAGTGGTCAATATCTGTTATGACTGTAAAATCGAAATGGCAGGCAATATCAAGGCGATGGGACCCAATCAATTCGGTCCACCCAACGATGGGATAATGCAAGCAACTACATTAAAAGTATACCGAACGCACAAGAGGTGGCTATTATAACTCGATAGTCTAGTGAATAACGCGCTTCCCGGGTCGAGTATTGCTGAGAATAACATCGCTCACTAGGAGCCAGGTACATCCAGTTGACAAGCCCCCAAAAGGACGAAATTCGCATCCTGGATTCAACTGTTGGCTACTATCTACCCTTACTACAAGATATATAGCTTTTATTTTCTTTCAGAATGTACCAGTCGTAGATGAATACTCTTTGAAGGATTTGTAAAACTTTTGGTTCTAGAAAACTCGAAAATGCAACCTTTCTGAGAGGGACAGGTTTAAAGTAAATAACTGTATGTGAGTAGTCAAACTACGTGAATGTGAAATTAATGAAAGTAAAGCATTTTAAATTACTTATAGGATATGCGATGATAAACAATAAAGCTAACAATCCTTTCAGTTTGTTTATACGGAAGCAATGCTGTGGTCTAGTGGATCATGCTTTGGCATTCGAAGTGATGAATACTGGATTTGAGTCACAGTGAGAACAATGTCACTCACGAGGGTGTAGGTATATCCAGCTGATGAGTCCTGGGCAGGACGAAACGTGTATCCTGGATTCCACTACAAGCCATGGTGCAGACTGAGATAGAGGCAGTGTCTATTCATCTGTCTTTGACTTCGTAGTGGTACAGTCGATGAAAATTTGCCCAGGAAAGGAGAGTTTTATAAGCCTCTTCATTGTTTGCTTTCAACAATCAGCGTTTCATTTCACCACTAATACAAACACAAACGTTCCTGTGTTTTGAAAATCCAATGGCAGTAATCCTGATAAGAGGTCTGTCACTAACAAATTTTAAACGAAGTTTCTAATGAAATATTTGAATCCAATAAACATGAAGATCAAAATTCTAACCGATTATAGGAAGTTATTACTCCCGAAACTATAATCTCGTAGTGATAATATCACAGAGATCATGAGGCGTACAAAGATAAAATTTTGATAGGTGATACCAGGTGTTTTTGAGTCGACAGATACCAAATTCACAAAACAGAATGGATTACCTAATTTTGTTTCTGTTTCTTCACCAGTCTGACTGCTCCTAAGAAGCAAGTTATGATGGGCGAGTGGTTAACTAGTTTAGTTTCTGAATTGCTCAGCCTGATCCTTCATGGTTGGGGAAGGGATGCTCAAGATCAAAATGTACCTCACTGTCCTCACTTTATTGGTAGTATTAGTGGCTTCGATGTTTCTGAGCATATTCCATCTAATCCTATTCATACTTTACAAGTGCTTGACTTATCATTAGCAAAAGCCATAGGGACTCACACAAATAAGCTGAGTTCACACGTTCAGAAGAAATCTATACAACTTTCACTGATCTGATAATCCATAGGGCCTATTTATGTGAATGTGGCTTTTTCCGTTAACTTAATTGTAGACGCTTATCAGTATTAATCTGATTGTTATAACAGTTCAAGCTGTGAACACTTTTTGAATTACGTCCAACCTTTATCTTTGCCATGGCCATCATAAAGACCTGTCGGCCACAGATTCATCTTGTATCAGGTAACTACACATGTATACCTCATTCACTTTTCGGCTATGTCATAGACTGAACCTGCATTACATAATTACAATCTTACTTTCATAATCCCCAGTTTATTCTTATACTTTGTCATAGGCTTATCCTGTATTTTATCGCCATAAGCCTTCATTCAGTTTCCTACTTTGCCATACATTCATCCTGTATTATGTAATTACATTTGATTTCATAATCCCCTGCCTATTTTCCCACTCTAAACACGAATGTGTATTAATTAACTTTTTTCCGTCATTCAATATATTTTGCTCCCTGACCGGAAACAATTCTGGAACATTCTTCAATTTAGTCTGTTTATTAGAAATATCACACAGTGAAACAGTAGCATTTACTGGATAACCGAATCGAATCAGCACCAGACATATGCAATCGAAATGATGCTGCACCTTTCCCAGATATATGGAAGATTCTGCTACCCTGGTCATCACAGAGAAAGAGAGAAAACTAGGAATAAATAAAGACTGTCTAGAAGTTGTGGAGTTACCTGATATGAATATGGTTAATAAATTGTGTCCGAAACGTTATCCAGTAAATGCTACTGTTTCACTGTGTGATATTTCTAATAAAAGAGACTAAAATGGAATTACAACCGACCACAGTGCCCAAGTTTTACACTTATATTCTGGAACATTCTATCTACTGTAACTTGTTGAAGTCTTAAATTAATCTGACGCGTTAACATACATTCAAATATCGTTACCCATAAAATGTATAATATTTATAGTTACCTAATACTTTATACTTACATCACTTTGATAACAATTATTAATCACTGGTAAATTTAGTCAGCACATTGTTTTGAAGTCACATTTTCAATTACTGTTCGACTGGATATTTATAAACAAACTTCATCCCATCCCTTATTTTTTCTAATGAAATAGAATAATTGAACATAGACAATTCAAGTTTTTTTATTTATACTTCGACGATTTTCCAATTATTGAATAAAAGTTAGTCTACTAAGCTCTTTGTTGATTCTTCTGCTGTCAATTCGTTTACATGCTTCATGATTACCTAGTTTTTGAGTGAGATCACTATTTATTGACTGTACCATCTACCTGATGATGAATCAATAACCTGGTCCCGGGTACTTAAATATACCGACTTTTTTTAGAAGGCCAGTAAACGCTCAATGCTTTGATCAATGAACAAAAGAATGTTTATTAAAACCTTCCTCCTATCTACCTCGCAACAAAAATTCTTTACTCATTATTAATTAAACTGGTTGGTTACTGAAGAGTAACCGGTTTTTCACTATCTGGTCCGACGTGTTAACTGAGTTCTAGTTGTCTCTTGGTATTGCGGTCACGCAGTTAGCAGACGAACCATCATGGTGCACTTTGACTGCTTCAGGAGGTTGAAGGTAACCAAATCTTGCAAGAAACATTGGCTCCCTGTAGGCTGCAGATACTCATTGATAAATAATGCCAATAAGCCTGAAACCTAGGTAAAAAGCTTCCTGTAAAATACCTTTGATTTCTTAAAATCACCGTTAAATCCTTGTTATTACAGCAAAAAACACTTTATTCTGAAAATAATCGTAACGCCGTTGAACCGAAATTTACTTCAAATAATAACTCACGTCCTTTTTCGTAAGGTGATTCATTCAGTTTTGGGATACTTGGTTTTAAAATCTTTTCGAAACTGTCATTTTCTAGTGTTCCTGAAGGCTTATAGTCTATATTATAAAGTCTACAGTTATTTGAAAATAGTAAAATTTATGGGACAATTAATCAATTTGCAAACTGCACAGCCCACGCTAACATTTCTTTCAGCTGATTAGTTTTTCAACTGGCCAACTGTGGTGTTAACAGGTTTCCGCTGAAAACCAGCCAGCCAAGATTACAAGGTATGATTTTTGACACAGAAATATCATAAACTAACGAAGTATACTATTGGTCAACTTGATCAATAGGAAACCATACAGGCCGATCTGCTGGTTTTGCAAGGCAGTTCAGAGTGACCTAAGCATCAGACTACTGTTTGACTCATTTCGGACCGAGATTATCAACGGCACACCTGGTCAAATCCATATCACAGCCGAATTTTTCAATCAGCCTGAATATGGTTTGCTGGCTTGCATGTTCAAGATTGAATGATGGATTCTCAAATGACTTACAGATTGCATGGTCTGTGAGAAATCAAATCGTCATCATCACTCTTCATTTTAGAGGCTTTTCACTAGGATGGTCCCTTATTTTAAATCAGTCTTCAAGTTATTCACAGCGACATGGCACCCTTTCAATCACACATCAATCAGTTATTATCATCTTCCTGCGAAACATGTAACCTGAAACAATAATCAGAGAAATGAGTGTACATTCAATACTGGTAATAAATTCTGTTAAATAAACTTGTTTAAGTTAACTTTATCTGCTTAACTGACTTCAGTCGTGTACAGAAAAAGAACAGTGAATGAGAGATAACAATCATCAACACTTCGCCTATTTATGATAATGATTCATTTGGAAATTTTAATTATCTTTGTGTTACTTTCCTATTATTCACCTCTTTCTATGTATAATTGACTTTTTCGTTAGTACATCGATTATCAAAAAAAATGAATGAGTACAATACACAAATAAGTTTATTGCTACAGTAATTAACAATCACCTGTCTTGTCCAATTATTTGAGTTGACAGACGTTTTTAAAAGTTTAGGAATAAAACCAAAATATTTCTACTCTTTTCTTATGTTTGTTTTTGAGTAAAAATGTGTCTCCATCATATATGTTCAATGGTCAACTGTCAATATTCCATAGATTTTTCATACTACTACGTCTTCCATTCAATGAAGTCGTTTTTATGCATTCCATTAAGTTCTTGTTTGAATATTCCAATTTTAAACTTGAGTATTTATTCGAATTTTCTGAATATGGTTTCAGGATGTCTACTTTATACTTCATATCAGATTTCATTGGATTCGGTAAATTCCTGTTCCCATGGATTGGACAATGAGATTTATTTTTATTGTGTGGTGAATGTATTACACACTGGATTCCTAAATTTGAATCATTCTTGTTTCTATGTATTAATCCATGTATTGGACATGAAGCCTGATTTGTCAGAGTACCATTTTCAGCTTGCGTGTTACTGTTAACAGATTGAGACTTTGAAGTATATTGATGATGATAAGAATGCCGTTCTGCAGAATGAGCTATGCATTTTGGTAATAATGAACCAGTGAGCATTGAACATTCACTATGTTTAGGATAACTTATGGGTTGTTTTTCGTGTAAGGTATTCAAGAAGTAAATTAATTCTGGTGAACGACTTCTAGATCTTACACCTAATGTATAATAACTTTTAGGTTTTGGCTGTTTGGCTGACGAGAGAGATTCCACACAGTTGGAACCACAATCTAACAAGCTGTCACAGTTTTGAGATGCATTTGATGTTAAATAACCCATATCACTGCTTTGTGGTGATGGCGTTTCTTGTTTCATAAAATGGTGTACTAATTTTGTTTGTAATACACTTTTTTGAGTGTTTTGGTTGTTGTTATCATTCAGTATGCCGTCTGTAAGGTAAGCATTCCTATCAAACATCTTATTCTCCACAGGCTGTGTCATGCTTTTCATCTGTACATGACTTAAATTTTCACAACATAGTTCAGAGGGTAAATAAACCATATTAGTGGAAAAATCTTTGTTATTGATTGGATCTGGATCAATCTGTGCACTTAGTTGCAGACTATTACCTGCACAAGATAAATGGTTTTCTACTACTGGTGGGTTATAATCTACATTATGTGCTTCAGTATCACTCTTTAACTTTTTGCCAGATGCAGTCATTACTTGATTTTGACTAAGCATATGCTTATTGTACACACATTTCAATGTGAATAAACCAATGATTATAAATGCAATATTAAACAAAACAATACAAATGATAATTATAACTGGATTAAAAACCTGGTTAACTTGTTCATCATAGTTCGGTTTATTATTATAAGATTGCAATTGATCATTTTGTTCAACTGACGTTTGAACATGAACATAGAATGTGGCTGATGCAGCACCTTTAAGATTACTTGCTTGACACCTATATTGTCCTTCATCCTTAATTTTATCCAACTGTTCAAAGTATAATGTTGTTGTAAATTTTATTCCTGGACTAATTGTTTGTACAACACGTGACCAATGTGGCTGTATGAGTATACCATTATGAAACCATTGAATCTGCATTTTTGGTTCACTGACAAACGAACACACCAATGTTAGATTATGACCTTGAAGGCCATACACATGAACAGGCATAATGTGATCAGTGAGGTTAGTATTTTCAGTATTATAAGTTGTTGGTACAGTATTCATTAGTTCTGGTTGACACTGAAGTGAAGTTAAATTTAAATACATTAATGCCATATTTTGATACTGTGGTGGTGAACTGCATTCACCACCTGGTTTCGAATTAAAATACAAAGCCTTCCTTGGTAAACGACTTAGCCAACGACGAAACCATAGTATTTGACAGTCACATATCCATTTTACACCTTCTAAATTCAAATAAGAAAAATGTTCTGGTCTAAGTCCACGTAATGCCTCCTCCATCAAATTAGCAAATGTGTTATTAGCAAAATTAAGGTGATGTAACTGGCTTAAACCATTGAATGTATTAGATTCCATGTGTATTCTTGTTGGTATTGAACTAAATTCTAAATGATTTAAACTTCTACCCATATGATACAAAAATCCAGCTGGTAGAAATCCCAACGCATTACCAGTTAAGTCTAAATAGTTCACATGTACAACTTGAGAAAATGCTGCAATAGGAAATGGTGTATGCAAAGTTGATGTCAACTGGTTGAATCGTAAATCCAACCAGGTTAGGGTGTCAGCAATCGGTAGGAAAGCACGTTCTGTTATCTTGTAAATTCTGTTGTAACCCAAAATCAATTTATGCACATTACGTAATCTTGTAAAACTATCCTCGTGCAGTATTTCAATAAGATTATGTGATAGATCTAATTCACGGGTGTTTTCATGAATGAAACTAGGAATCTCTGTAAGACGTTTATGCGAGCAATGAAATATATCCATATCTGTTTGGGAAGAACACATATTGGATAATATAACCTTGTCATTGGTTATAATTGATAGTATTAACATCACTGAAATGACTTGATGCAAAATTAGTAGATGCACATTGTTCATGATGCATAATACTAATAGGCATGAAGGTGGATTACAACTGAAATATTTCCGCTATTCATTGATATCATATTATAGTAATGGCGTCCAAAAGTGAACTATAAAATATAATCCGTGTTAATAATTTTCGTATCATGAAGTTGGAAAGCAGAAAAAAGGGAGTGAAACTGAAAAGTATTTTTCCATACCATTTTTTTAAATTGCATTGGAAAAATTGATTTCCAACTTAGGGTTGTTTTCATTTTAATTAGTCTTGTCATAAAAAGAAAACTTCTCAGTAAGTATTCCATTCATCTTCTATAGTTTACTCCACTGAAAATCACCGTCTTCAGCCATCGATATTGACATCTTATTTGCCAGCGGTATAAGCTTAACAAAATCTACCAACCAGAATGCTTTGGATATTTCAAGGCATAAATAGACTGATACACAGTGTACTCAGACAGACACAAACAAAAACTGAGTCACAAAGCAACCACCTGTCTATGATACACAACTTAACTTCCTTTAGATTGTGTAGAACTGGTATTGTAAATTCCAAATTATTTTGATGGGAAATTCTGAGTTCCCATAGAAGAAATGAATCACAAGATAACAACCAATATTTTGACTAACACACAGAATTCACCTTTATGTCAAATATGATCTACTTCCTTTCAAAAATATTCAGGATTAAAAAAACAATGTAATTCCATTGAAAGTGGGGGAAAAGTAGTTATTACCTTCCAGCTTGATGAATCGGTAGTTGTATTTTCAATTTATCTTCATCAATTTGAAAGATAACTCTTGAAAACTTAGCGTCATTAGAAGACGAAGTTTATCTGAACCGTGCGATGTTTTCGTGCAATACATTTCGAACAGTCTGATAACATATTCACTAGTCAAGTCAATTTATATGGGAGGACAAATGAAACAATTAAGATAATACGGGAATAAAATTAAGGACGATTAGAGTAAAACTGAAGAGAGATATAGTTGATCCTTATGTTGATAAATGAATGAAGTGTACCAAGGTAGAAGTAGCGTAGGAACAGATTGCTTCTGTACACATAAATGTATTTTCAATCTGTGTATAGCTATCCCTTTCAAAAATCTCAGTATCTGCACTTCATCATCATCCATCCGACGTAGAGGTAAGATGAATTCAGATAATAAATTACTGTCTGAAACCCTTTTGGAAGACGGATATCTAATTAAGCTTATAAACCGTTGTAGAATTCAGGTAGCTCCCAAGCCAACTCAACATGATTCCTAAGAAAAGCGTCCGTATCACCGTACTATGCAAAGGGAAGCTGAATATTATAATTTTGAGACGTTGGCTAACATCAGCTAATCGGGAAAATTATAAAGCTAAGCTTATTATTGCAGAAAAAACGAAATACGTGCTTCAACACAAACATGAACACTGCATGAATGATTAAGTGACACCTCATTATTGACTTACCATGGTCTTAACACTTTCATTTTTTTGATTTTATTATAATTAATTAGTTCATTATTATCACATTCATTATGACCCTTGTCTCATTCTTCGTCTTCTTTACATCTATCTATCAAGTGGACACTCAATATTTGCGTTTCTTATCTGTCAACAATTTTCACCTTGTCAAACTCCTTGCCTTCCTCGGTATTCCTACTGTCTTCGTTTATTACGTGACTACTTTGTATTCCTAATTCCGGCTTTTTAAGAACTAGGTTAGTGATGTAATTATACTCTATTGTTTTGTAATAGACTGTTATATGTTTACGATTGTACAGCTTTAGAAAATGATGTCGTCGAAAAAGAAAATTTTCTTCGCTGAATTATCTCTTCTCTATAACACCCTAGTGTGTTTACCATTTTACATGTGTGTGGTCACATATGCATAGGGAGGAGAAATAGAGCTATTCAGTTGAGAGTGAGAGAAAATGCACCTAAATGGCTTCAGAAACAGATGAAGTGTGAAACTATGATAAGTGCCGGTGGAAGACAAACCTCTTCAACTATAGCTAAACACATGGTAGAAATGGGTCACAACAATAATGTTCGAGTGGCTTTCAAAGTTTTATATAGAAACAGTGATGAGTGAATATTGAGTTTTGCAGCAGTGATAGCCATACACAAATTGAAAGTACATTTATGTGTACAAAAGCAATCTGTTCCTACGCTACTTCTACCTTGGTACACTTCATTCATTTATCAACATAAGGATCAACTATATCTCTCTTCAGTTTTACTCTAATCGTCCTTAATTTTATTCCCGTATTATCTTAATTGTTTCATTTGTCCTCCCATATAAATTGACTTGACTAGTGAATATGTTATCAGACTGTTTGAAATGTATTGCATGAATACATCGCACGGTTCAGATAAACCTCATCTTCTAAGCACACCATCCTAATTCATAAAATAGACTAAATGTCTCAACTAATAAAACTATTGAGAAATGCATTTACCTCGCAAAATATCTAATTTATATGTAAAGGAACTTGCCTTCATTTAAAACATTTGTTTCAACTGAATAAACTGTACACAAGAATCTGAAATTGGTTTTGCTAGTCTTCAAGTTTCAAATGCTCATCACCGAGATCAATGATGTAAGATGCATAAATATATACATATATCTGAAAAGATTCCATTCCGTTAACGTATTTAAAAACAAGAAACATAGGTAGGAATGGAAGCAAGATTCAATGGATTGATAAATTTCAGTAGATCTAGTTGGTGGAGTATGGCATACTCCTGATTTTTTTTAGCACGATACAGTACAAAACTTAGGTGAATGAAATAATCCCTTAGTGGAGTGGTAATGGATAATAAAAAATGAAGCCCAACTCACCATACTGTACGAAAGTTAAACACAAAAGGTATAATTCTATACTAAACATTACCATATATTTTTGTTTAACCATATTGCATAGTGACAAAAGGTATTCAACTAAACCTATTAGTTTCAAAATCAAGTGACTTAGTCCCAACATGTAAGGATGAACTTGCTATATTCAGAACAATATAGCTAATAGCAACAGACAAAGTTTGTTGACTAAAAACATAAAGGAACTCTGAGAACACTGAAGAAAGATGAAGGCCTATTTATGAGTAAATCAAATAACGCAGCAGGTATAGTGCTAATGGGTAAGATGGAATGCATTGACAAAATGAACTGGTTACTGAATAACCAACAAAGTATCGAAAACGTTGTGATGATACAGGTTTAAACGGCAAAGCGGAGAAACAACTGACAAACATCCTTTAAGAATTAAGACAAGAGAGTCTAATTAAAATGAAGGAGTCGTCAAACCCTCAAGGTGTTGCACACCGCAGTTATATGGCCTACCTCAAGTCCACAAACCACAGCTTCTCCGTCCGGTTTTAGATATGTCCAGTTCCCCTTGTCATAAAATCGCGAAGTGGCTAATAGGAGTTCTACAATCCCTACACAAACAAGTCATAAAGAATAGTGTTAAAGATGTTTTCTTTATCTCCAATTTAGAAAAAGTGAATATGAAAGGGAAACATATGGTATCTAGGGGTGTTTCTTTTTTATTCACCAATGTACTACCTCTCAAAATAGTAGAACTCACTTGTCAGCGGATATCAGAAACACAGATTAATCTTATACTTCCAGAAGAAAGTCCCAGTTAATTACTTCTACGATGCACCAAGAATGTGCATTTTCTCTTTAATGATACTTATCACAGGCAAATTGATAAAATTGTTATGGCTTCACCATTAGGCCCAAAATTAGCTGATTTTTTTCTTGCTAAACTTAAATACGGATTATTGAAAATGTCACTGGTAATCTGCATATACCCCCGACACCTTTATTGTTCATGAGCGAAACGCTGACAGAAAAGAACGATGAAGAAAACTCAACGACGTACATCCTTCTCTCACTTTTACTTGTGAAGAAGAACAAGAAAATGTGCAACATTTGTTAGGTATCTTATTGATTAGAAGGTGGGTCACTCTGTAGAAAGGTGTACAGAAATATCACATCCATGGATAAGTATACATCCTTCCTCAGCTTTTTGCGCATTCGATATTAAGGAAGCCTAATTAAGCGTCTTGGAAGCGAAGCCAGAAGGATCTGCTACGACGACCTGATACAAAAGAAGTTAGAACGAATTCATGATATGCTGGTAGAAACTGCTGAACCCCATAGTTTTACCATGAAATACAGACAGACTAACTAATAAAAAATGAGTTTTCAAAGGAAATCAATATTCATGAAGCTCCAATTTAAAGGGGATGCTCCTGGTAAAGTTCTATTTCAGAGAGTGCCTACAGTCATCAGGAAAACGTTCTGTGCTGCTAACCTTGGCTTATTATTTTCTAGTCGGCCGATAATTTTTGCTCAGACAAAAAACAAACTGCCCAGTTCTATCACTTCTGCAACCCAATGGTCGCTGGTTCGAATCCCGCCACGGTCCAGATTTTCATCTCACCGTCAATCATCACCCAGTATAAATTTCCATATGCATTTATTAATTCACCTGCTTCTGTGGAAAACGCTATAATAAACTTACAACTACACAGCTGAACAAAACGGCTGCTCAACTCTTACGGTCGTGACTACTAAAGTTGCAAGTGGTCAGTGTGAAGTTTAATTCCGTTGTATTTAGTCAGCAGTAGTCAGGTAACAGATGAGATCAAATCTTTCAAAATTATCTATGGTATTCCACAAAACCTTTCAAACGTAATTCGCATTTGCATTTGACGTATAGCTGAGGCTGTGAGAACTAGAGAAACCAAAGCTAGTCCTTGGGTGTAGAAGACTATTTCGCAGCATTTATCTCTACCTTGGCCAGAGGAAACGTAATAAATGACTTCAGAGATTTATTCAATTTTCACATTCTTCCTCTTTCTCGACCCCTTTCACATTTGTTTATTTGCTTAAACTGTGATTATCTACAAATGGCATTACGTAGCTTTGATTTTTCTAAGTATTGGTCGCTTTTGTTTGACTAAATGTTTGGTGTTCCATGCTGTTCCCACTATTCTTATCACCATTAAGATTATTATTATTTAAAACAAGCAGCAATAGTAATTAAAGCGGTATTTCTTCAATTCATAAATTTCAGTAGGACTCGTCTGCTTTCTACTCCACACACTACCATAAAGACTAAAACATTGATTGAGGCATGACAACACGGCGTGAATCATCTATTCATGTCAAAAAGAGCTAGGATTAGGTTGGGAGGACGTTGCAAAGTGATAATGAAAAATGAAGGGATAAGGGATGGAGTACATAGTTTCGAACAGAACAATTAGTAGTCAACTAGATAGCTTGATAAAGGCTCATACTAAGAGAATATAAGTGTTAGGTAAACAAAAATACAACCTCGCCTGGTTAACTAGTTTACTAGTTACTAGCCGGTCCTAAGCCCGGGTAAAGAGG